ATCTTATCGTTTCTATTCATATCATTAACAAAGAAGAAACGCTTACATAAATCATTTCGAATAGGAATTAAAGTTTTTCGCTAAACATTTTGCCAGTTTCTTTGTATTGGTGAATGGAACATCGAGAGTATAGGATGTAAAGGATTTTACGTAATCCATATATAGATTAGATAGCTCAGACCTCATTGGTTTAAGGGAAGTGAAATTCTTCCTTGCTGATAACATTGATGTTTCAAGAGTTTTACCAGACTAGATATTACTTTGCATTGTAATTTTCTAAAGTCGTCTGATAGAACATTAGACATAAATTTACTTTTATCATTAATGATCGATATCATCTTGTTTTTGTAATCATATTTGTTTATCACAACCACACCGGATCCTCTATCGGATTTGAGAATGATTATATCAAATCTATTTCGAAGTCGATTTTAGGGCTTTGAAATGTGATACATAGGGGGACTAAATCATGATATGCACTTGAGGGTAAGGGTAGGCTACAAAAGCACCTAGGTAGGCAACCATCATCCGTATCCATTGCAAAGCATATCATTGATAAGGTTGACACAGGATTGATATTAAAACAAACAGCCTTTACAGTTTTGTATAGAAACTGTCAGGGGCGTATACTTAAGTTTGTTGACGCGCTAGTCATAAGCAAATTTAACCCCCCCCCCATGTGTAGAAAAACATTTTGTGCTTTCGCTAAGCCTACCTTGGTAGGTATTACCAGGATTGTCTTCAAATCTTATCTTTTTTCCCCTTCTCATTATTATGGGATGCCTTTATGTTATATTTGTCCTTCACTCACTTCCAGCGCCTTTTGACAAGTAAATGTGTGGGGGATCAAATTGTTCGAAATGTATAACGCTAATACACCACACACTGTTCAGATAATCTACCTCATCTTTCAGTTACATTATCCAAATACATATACAATAGTATGCCTAATTAGTATACTTCCATTACGATTCGAACCGGTGACCTTCTAGTTTGCCATTCAGAGGAATAAGGTGAGGGAACCGCGTGACTCATCATGTATGCGGGTGGATGGATTCAGTATACAATGCTGGGGAAGCATATTTAAGACCAATCAAGTCCAACGTGAACCTGGCAAAGTTATAACATAAACAAGAAATTACTACCATGTTCAGCATAATTCATCACCTTCCGATAAATGGATATATACGTTTGGCTGTGAAACATACCCATTAGGGGGCTTCAAGTGTTTGACCACTGTTTCCTATGTTGGATAGGCGATGTTTCTCGATGTCACCATGCAGTATTAACACATAAGTCAGGCGTAGAGTTTTAGAAAAGAAAGGTAAGTCAGCTGATGTCTTTGTGAACCTTCTTCAATGTATGCCTAGTCATTGTCTACCTCGTCGGAGAATGTTGGCTGAAGTAGGTGCAGGCTGGAAAAAGTCTCATGGAGACTAGAATATAACATGGCATCAATGAATGACTGTTGGTTTGAGCCATATGGGACGATACAGACTAGTCGGTTAGGGTTCACGAGACAAGAGGAACCAGTGGTTGGAGAATCTAGGGGATATGCTTACCTTAAATCTAACCATAAACCCATATCACCAACTGACGAGTAAGTCTCGATGAAACCTGCATCATGCTGGATTCCTATGGTGATCAACACCAAGAGATATATGACAGTTTGTGGAAATAAGGAATAAAAAGAACAATTCCACGCTAAATTCTTACATTTTCACAATACCTCTTTGTCTCAACATTACTTAGCACTTGAATTGAACACTATAAACATATCATTTTAAGAAAATTAGGTGTCATTTAAAAAAAAAGGTGAATGAAAGGCAACCACTACTGCTTGGTTTAAAGAAAAGAAACAGTTTTATATTCAGGTCAAATAAAATAAAGGGATTAAATATTGCATAGGTAAGGTCGCTAAATAACAATCAACTAAATCTACTTTGTTGAAGATAGTAAGTAACAAACAATAATGTTTTCTGTTTGCCTGATTTTCTAGAAAGAACAAAGCTACTTTCTATCGATCCATATATATATAAGGTGAGGCAGATAAAAACTCGGCAGCTGATTGGTGATTATATTTATGGTCAGGTGACAATTTTTTATTTTAGTTAACCTTGAGGAAATTAGTCTGAATTATCATTGGTTTATTATGACATGTGATAACAGCCAATCGGGAAGGGAATACATTTTTTTATTATTTGATAATGAAGAGATTTTTTACGAATATATACAATGCGATTGATATCAGATATTTACACTTCAAAACTGATCGGATTGGTTATACTGGGTAGGGTTACTAGCCCTACACCCAACCTTCCCGCTTTATCCGGACTTAGGTACAGCTACTAACTAGTGAACTAGTTAACCAAGTAGAAGAGACCTGATATGATATCAAATAACCAGGTTACTACATGGAAAGAGATCTACGCAGACGAAACCAATGAAAGATAGTGAAGGAAGGCTAGTTACCAACAAAGGAAACAATGGGCTGACCACTTCGAAAAACCCTTGAATTGACCACCACCACCAAGTAATTTGGCAAGCAGTTAATTCAGCACTACGGAGTGAGTTTCACAAATCTTTATCAACCTCATTCAACAGCTAAGCTATGTGAAGACGCCCCACGCCAAGTGATCAACAATGGAAAGCTCAGTGATCCGTTTGAAGTGAACTGAACTGATTGTGATGAACTGGACTGGACTGGATCATGCAAGAAACCATAAGGAGCGAGAAGATGGGAATAAGCTCGCTGTTTGTTCGATGGAAAGACCCTAGAAGATTTGGATTTCGCCAATGACTTGTGTCTAATATCTTGTCGCACAAACTAGAAGATCTACAGGCGAAAACTAACAAGTTGACAGAAGAGGCAGGGCAGTGAAGACGGGACTTCTTTCAGGTGAACGTAGAGAAGATAGAAGTGATGATGATACCTAACCAACGCCACCACCACCACCAACAACAAGCTCCAACCACCATCAACGGGAGAAATGTAAAGGAACTTGTCTCTTTCACCTATCTAGCCGCCTACCTAGGCAGCATCGATTCAACTACAGGCGGCACAGGGGCATATGACGATGTCAAAGCAGCGAGGATCGGAAAGACAGCAAGAAAAACCTTCCGGCATTAGTCTGAAATCAGTGTGGAGATCTACTGTACTGCACTCAGCATAAAGCGAGAGAACAACATCCGGATTTTCAACACCAATGTCAGTCAAGTAAGTCAGTGTTTCCATGTGATGGTTGAGAGAGTAGGCGCATTACGGAAAGCATTTCCAACCAACTGCTGCCGCCTACACTCTCTCTCTCGATACTGGAGATGATGAGAAAGAATAAACAACAAGGAACTCTGGCCTAGCAACGAACCAACCAACTAAGCAACCAAGAACCCATCCTCCAACAAATATGCAGAGAGAGAAAGTGGAGATGGATTGGATTGGATTGGACATACAGTGAGAAGACGGTTCGGAGACATAACACGGCAGGCCAGGCCAGGCCAGGCCAGACCGTCGAGTGGAAGCCAAAGGGGAAACGACGAGTTGGGCATCCGGAGCGAAGGTGACATGAAGGAGATAGTGTGAAGAAGAAATGAAAGCTTATTACGAATCGTGGAGGTAGGTGAAAAAAAACTGACTATTGATCCAAGCCGTGTATAGAGGTGTATACCCTCTCCCAAGCTAGAGTCCTCAAAACGGTAGGAATCATTGGTTGATGTTCCCTATTCACTCATTTATCAACTGTAGAGTAGTTAAATTAGTTCAAAGATCTTGGCATCCTGCCACCTCCATACAACCTAATTTTTCAAATATTTCTTTGGATAGAGGTCCTCCCCCCTTCTAGTATAGAACTCTTGAATAACCACCATTACAGCAGGGTTAACCAATCAGAGATGAAATCAATGTCAACTGAAGTTATCAATAAATAGTTGGCGGTATATCGTGAATCTGTAGAAATAGGGAACTGTGAATAGTGGTTAACGAATTCGTCGTAAAACCTTAAGGTCCTGAGTTCGAGTGCTATCCAGTACTCCTCATGATGAATACTACTCATAAACTTTAAACTATGTAAAAAAGGGTGATATACCCTGGAATCAATCAAGACAACTATCTAAGTTTAGCACATGGGATAGACCCAGATGGTGACGCAGTAGTCTTTATAACTTCGCTTTCTCTCACCCCCTCCTCTATCTCTCTAAATTAAGTGAATTATCATATGCACTACATCTATTCAATCAATCGGTCAATTGGTCAACCAGTCAATTTGACTTCATAATCAACCTATGTGTCCGTGTATCTGTTCTCCGTGCGTGCATGTGTACGCCTGCGCACATATTTATTGATTACTGCTGACGTTTATGTGGAACGCAAGTCGATAAAATCACATGACTATATAATATGTTGAAACTGGGTGATGATTGAAAGTGAAATGAAAGTGTTAACATCGATGGATTCGAACCATCGACTGACCAGGTTACCAGCCCAAGATACGAGGTCTGACTGCTGACAGAATACCACTTATGATTGAAGTGAAGTCGAAATCGGTCGGGCTTCATATCGCAATTGATAGATCACTGGGTCAGTAACCTATTGGTGACTGGTTCGAATCCCACCATGGTCCAAATTCTCATTTCACCTTCAATCATCACCCAGTATCAATAACTTTGGTTTAGTAAACTTCTATTTCTGATACTGGAAATTTAATGAGAATCTGGGACGCAGGCAGGATTCGAACCAGAGATGGCTAGCAGTGAAGTCTGGGTTCAGGTATGCCAGGTACGGACCACCGAGAGAACACCAACTTCCTCATAGCACTTATATGAAGTGTCATCCCTCCCCCCGTCAACATCCCTATACAACTAGAGTTTTGATTGGTGTTTGAAGTAATGGCTACTTCGTTCGAGTCCCGAAAGAAGACAAAATCTACATTCAGCTTATTGTTTTCCATTATGGTAGTCTAATCATTAATCAAATTACAAGAATAATGAATAAAAATTCTACTTACCCAACTATAGATGGCGTTGAATGACAAGCAGCTGGACAAACATATACTGAAGTGTTCAATGCATCTTTCTCTAGTTTCATAAAAAAATCAATAGCCTGTTGAATATGATTATCATCATTATTAGACAATGGTGTATTTGGTGTACTTAATAATAGTGATAGACTAGACGATCGCCATACAGATAATTCTATAGCCATTAAATGAGGTGATGAAATACTACCTTCACGAGATAATAGACGTATTTCAAAGTTTATATAAACACCAGGCTGGTTCAATTGTATTCGTCGAAAGACAATATCACGATATAATGAATCTGATGGATAATTGATAGCGATATGATCATGAGTTATGTAGAATGAACCGATACTACGCAATACTGCCTAAAATAAACATAGGAAATAAAGAGAATATTAAAAGTAAATAGAAATAATTCTTATATAGGACAGAACCGCATTCCTAAGCGGGGATGCCTCGATACTGCATGGATATTCATGATATTCTATTCATCTTGTTGACTAGTAGTTTCAACTGATGGCGTTGTCTGTGTTCAACTCTTAATGGAGTGTAGGTAAATCCTCCAACTGACGACTCTGAAATGCGACGAAATGTGGCATCAATCAAAATGAAGGTTAGCAAAGGAGCCCAGCTTGAGGCGCGTTTCACCCTATTTACGACTAGTCAACTGGATGTACGTGCACTCCAGTGCCGAGTGATATTGTTCCTACCGGGGCTCGAACGCTAGAGTGTTATCCACTGGGGCACGATAGCCACCTCTTGTATAACGCGTGTAATTTGTTGTAATGATACTAGCTTGATCTCGATTTGCAGATGAGCTCTGGGTTCGAGACTCGCTGGGAACGACCTAGTGGTTGAAAGTCCTAGGTTCGATACCTGCCGCATTGCTGAGGAGTCCCATGATAAGACTCATGTCAGTCCGTAATGAATAGCAGCTTGAAATATGATCCCATATATTGATCCTCACATTCGACTTAATTGAGCCCAGATACGTAACGACTTCTCATTACAACTATAAAAGACCATGTCATGGAGCATTTCACTCAGGAGACTGGAGAACTATTGCGTCGCTTTCACCGAGAAAAGACACATCGGTCGACTGGCTTCCCGAAGGCTTTCGCCAACCGGCGTCATTTCGCCTCTCCAATTCCAGCGAGGAATAAGTTTGTTTTGATTTTTTATATTTCCTTCGTGCTTTGAAGTTTCTTTAGCGATTGGATTGGTTTTAGGGGGTATGATTGCTAGCCCTATGCCCAGCCCAACCTTCCCTCTTAATCCGGGCTTAGGATCGGCTAGTAACTAGTGAACTAGTTAACCAGGCGAGGTGAAAAACATGGTTACAACAAAAAATTTCATTGCAAGAAAAACAGCACAGCAACAAGAATGAATGGCAAATTATGTAAGAGGGGAACTGTATCAGACAGGTAGATAGACAGACGAACAGACAGATGGACAGTTTAGGTTACCACACTTCACAGTAATGGGAAAAAATTATATTAAAGTGGGAAAAATTGTGTGAGAGAATAAAAAAATCTAGACATAAAGGTTAGTGCAAATATTCAGGTGAATGAATCCGCTTCATTGTCGCCAGTTGATCTTCAGCCATGCTGCCACCACACTAGGAGTCAGCCCTGAACATTTGATTCCTAACATCTTGGGAACTCCATCCAGATAGTCTACAAAACTAAGACTATAAGTCAACAATTTCATCAAGTGACGTCATATCTTGGTCTGGTCATCTTGAACCCTTTTCCAATCTAATACACCTTCTTTTAGTATGATATGTCGATGTAGGTCACGATGAATAGGTATGCACAGTACACATTTTATCCAGATCCCAAAGCCTTCAGTTGATGGCATCGTCAATGGTATCATTGAATTTCACTACCATCCTGATGCCAATGAGTCTTTCGGTAGTTGATATAGACGTTATGAAGACTAATTCAAAGTGTAGTTTTACTAGCCAAAATGATTCTTGGAAATGTTATGTCTCCTACTTAGAAAGTTTGGCCTACCTGAACTCGACCAATGATGCAACATGATTCCGCCACAGAACCCATATGATCACACGTCCGATGCCACAGTCCAGCCAGTGAATGATATGTCTAGAGAATATCAACGACACGGTAACCTGCAGTGTGATACGAGTTTAGCCCTATCCGGACGCCAGAATGGTTCTGAAGTACATACAATTCACCAGACATCACACTCATCCGCATCACCCTCTCGCCTGTTCACTGAGTCAGGAACCCAGGTGATGAAAACCGGCCATCGAAGAAGACAGCCCCATCGTCTTGCTGGCATCTAGACAACATCGATACCGGGACTGTAATGCTGGAGAGACTATAAGGGCGATGTTAGCCGCCAACACCCACAACCACGTTTTCATTCTCCATCGGTAGGTGAATCTCTTGGCATGATAACTGATTTCCACGTTGAAAGAATATCGAGAAAACTACTGATCAACCAGTAAACAAGGAGAAACTCCCTTTACGTCGGTTAGATAGATGCAGGAAAATGACAATGCAGTCCAGTCTTTCGAATAAGGAGGTGATATTAGGGATAAAGAAAAAAGCTTAGTCTGTAGATGGACCAATCAAAATGCATTTTATGTTATCACGTCAACGATTAGACAGACAGATAGACGATGAATCAGGCAATCAACAGTCTTTCGATGCCAATACACGCTTCTATACGTCCATCGTGTCTTCTCTATTAATCAGTCGGGTCGGGTCAAGAATCAACTAGGAATTCGTTGGAATGTTGGTAGCTAACAGGTGATATCCATGCATCGTTAGTAGCCAATATACTTGAATGAAGACATGCTTCACAGACAGACTGATCCTTGCTCACAATATGTTCAGTTACAGCACATTTTATCGATCCACTATCACGTTTTTTTAATCATCTGAATGTGACATACGCATGTAGGAGTTGGCAGATGCAAAAGTTTTTCTCCCAAGTTATTGGTATTGACAGAATCTTCCCGGTTTCAATGGTTCTCCCCTTCCCGCCCCCACCAACCAATCCCAACAACTAATACACGTTTCGTCCTATCGACAAGTTAGACATAAGTTGGATGTACCTGTCCCCCCTCCCCCAGGAAGTGAGTGATGTTGTCTCCACTGAGGGGATTTGAAACCAGGATCAGTAACTTTAAACACCAGAATGTTGTACATTAAGCCACAAAATCAAGGATACAGTATCATCAATATGAACATAGGACAAGGTATTACTGCGTAACGGTTCGAGTTGCCACACCTCATATCAGTACATCAAGTACAAAGGTAGTGAGGTGAAAGATGAAGATAAGTGAATGCAGTCAAAAGAAATACAAAGTACGAGGAGAAAGAAAGGAAGAATGAGAAAATGGTGAGATTCAGTATAGCGTCGTTAACATGAGGATAATGTGGGGGGGGGGGGATACATCTGCGCCACTGACATTAGTTCTGAGCCATATCCCCCAGTCTCTAGCCACTGGTTCCTCTTGTCCCGCATTTGGGTGATGAGAACAGCATCCCAAACATTCTCAAATTCCCACTCAAAGTGTTCAGAAGACTCTGCATCTTGTCAGCGTCTTCACCTAACAGGACTATGTCATCTGCTTATTCTAGGTATAACGAAAATTCTCCACCAGTTAGGTCAACACATAAGTGTAATTAGGTCACGAGAGGGAGACCTCCATAAGAATATCTATGATAAAATTGAATTAGAATTGAGATAGTGTGCATCCTTGACGGACACCACTCGATGAGCATAGCTCCCTTAACATCTCACCATAGGTTCTAACATGCCCACAAGTTTTTGAGTACAGAGCTTTCAATAGGGTGATGTACTTACTCGGCAAACCTTTCAGAGAGAGACATTGCTATAAGACTTCTTGATGAACGGAGTCGAATGCCTCCTTCAGGTCGAGAAATACAGCTATTGTCAGGCGTCTGTAAGCGTGTCTATGTTCCAAGACCTGGCGCAGTAGATGTAGTATCGTTAGTATGGAAATCTTGGCATAGTCGATAAGATCGAATTGATCAGCCAATATTGGCCTGTCATATGACTTAAATCATTATCAGAGTTTGAAGCGAAGCACATACAAGAACATCCAACTGACAAGTCTTAATTAAGATGAAACGTGTACATCAAGCTGGATTCCTCTCTACTAGTCAGCAAGATCAATATATTGCTTAGATTAATGTGTTTCACATTCATATTAGTCTGTGTACATAGGTGTGTATGCATGAGCGTGTTTGTGTAAGAAAGCAGGAGAGAGAGAGATAACAAAGACACATCATGAAAATAACTAAAATATAACACAGAGACAACAGCTGATTTCATTATCAGTTATTTATTTGCTTTGTCTACAGACGGGTATCTTATCTCCTGCTTTGTCTGTGTGTATATGTATCGATATTTGTGTGCACAACTGTTCTCTCTTTAATCGACAGTGTGTGAATCATCGAAGGAATTCATGTTCGTATACGTTTATCAAATGACACAAAAAAGTAAAAACATAAAATCCTTTGTCTTCATCCTTTCACCACTGAATCACACACACACGATGGGTATAACTCAACACTGTGAATAATGTGACCTTGAATCTATAGGGGAGTAACATCATCAGCATAGGACCAGGTATTACTGCGTAACGGTCCAACTTTCCACACCGCATATCAGTACATCAAGTAAAAAGGTAGTGAAGTGGAAGATGAAGATAAGAAAATTCAGTCAAAGGAAATATAAAGTACGAAATGAGAGGGAGAAAGGAAGAATGAGAAAATGGTGACATTCGGTATAGTGTCGTTAACATGAGGATAATGTGTGTGGAGGATACATCTGAGACAACGACATCGGTTATGAGCCATGTTAACTATCACATAGAGTCTCCAACCCCTGGTCCCTCTTGTCCCACGGACCCCAACCTGCTAGTCTGGATCGCCTTACATTGATACCATGTTTTAGTCTGGCCACCCCTAACCTCACCTTCTGCCAGCCTGAACCTAATTCGGCTCACAGTGTGTGGTGAGATAATAGACGACTAGGTATACGTAACACATGTCCCAACCAGCCATCTCAGTCGACCAAGGTTCACAACCACGTCAACTGATTTACCTCTTCTCCCTAAAACTCTACGCCTGGCTTCTGCGTTACTCATGTGGTGCGGTGACACGACGGAATACAGCCTACACTACAAAAGTAGTGGTGGTCAAATACCTGAAGCCACCTTCTCATATCTTCTACCTTCAATCGCCATGTTTCACAGTCATACAGTAGAACATACCGGACTGCTGTGCAGTATATGCCACCCTTGATAGACGAACAGATATCATGGCGGCACCACGGGTGGTGTAAGTTGGCAAAAGCCAGTCGA